GATGTCTTCCTAAGGCTTGAAGTCCTATCAGGAACATTTTCCTTGAATCTTCACAAAATAACCCATAACCGCTCGTTCATAAGACGATGGTCTTGTGCCAAAGATGCTAGACATCAAAGGAAAATAGGAATTAGCTATAATTTTTTAAAAGGGTGAGTCTCAATTCTAGCTTTCTAAGATGGTCAATAGTAATTTCTAGAGCTAGAATCTAGGCTCTAAGGAGGAGAAGACAAGACCTCACAAAAATGAGGTCAACACTTATGCATGAATCAATCAATAATTTCATAAGCATATTCATCAAACCCTCTGGTTTCAACAGTTCTCAACATTTTTTTGTCATCTGATCCCAAAGATTCTCGGAGTTTCGTCACCTTCTGATTTCCAGGACTTAAGAATCTTATCGTGCTTTATCATTCGTACTTACAAGTATTAATGTAATAGCTTACCAATAACTTTACCTATGACATTTCTTAAAGAATAATTCATGTAACAAGTATTCATCATGAGCATTTCTTTGAACTTATGCATGAATCAATCAATAATTTCATAAGCATATTCATCAAATTTATAACATAATAAAATCATGTATCATAAGTGATAACATGTTTGCATTCATACAATTTATGCAGATATTCATCTACAATATGCAGAAAATTCTAAATAAAATAGTGTTGAACACATAATCACATGAAAACCTATAGAAATTTATTTTTTTTAAGTTACCATATGTTTATTTCACTTGAATTAACGAAGCACCCCTACAACGAGTTTTCGAAAGCTTGTCTCAAGCTCGCCACCTAGTGTAGACAACTTATGATTCATAAGTATCTTAGGATTTCATGAAATCTTACCTCTTCCTATTATTCCCTTAATCTTCCCTTTACATCATCGATATCCCGTTAATGGTCCTTATAGAAGTTCGCATACCAATTTCGTAGTCTCCGACACAATTTCATCTAAAATAAACCCGACTCGTGGCATAAGTCAAAATTGAAACTCAAGTAAGAAAAGGAATGACACAAATATCGTGGAAGAGAGGTATGTACTCACAGATATCTCGCCGAGACCCTTTGCCGTGAGCTGCTGCTCCCATACCGCCGCTTGTCCTTCTTTGTTCGCGCTCTGCACTTTAGCAATGGTCGCTGGACTCCTACAGACGAGTGAATCCGAGAATATGGGAGAAGGAATAGGAGGAAATGCTATATTTATTGTGATCCCCACCTTATCTCAGTCGTTCGAATCATCTCACGACTGAAGCGCGTGAAATGACAGTGGCTACTGGGATCAGGATTAAGGATATAATTAAGAGATTAATTACAGCTAGTTGAATTTATAACTTCTAAATATTTTTCTTCTCATTTTTAAAATTCATGGTGCTATATATTAAATTAATTGATTCAACGGGTAGAATTTTATAAAATTGATTCGGTTGAAATGGAGCGATGCAAAATTTGGGTACATTTTACAATTGCTGAAATTTTACCTGCGTTCTCAAATTTTTGGTGCTACATTTATGATGCAAGTTGCTTTTGTGCTTTAATGCTAAGGTTTATAATATAACACATCACAAAAATCCATTTCCAAATCCTTCATCGCAGGCCACTGAAGTTGGATCTTGCTACTTTCTGCTACAGTACCATATTTAATGAATAGTGAATTAAATAGTGTGAACAGTAACCTTAACGTAACTTTAGGAAAATTAATATAATTACGTAATTAATTTATAAATGTTGATAGACTTATATATACATACATTATAACACAAATACATACATGCACACACACACATACATACCTACATGTAAAATTTGATAAAAATACTTTTGAATATTTTTGAGATGTAGGAAAATTGAGGTACAACATTTTAAGTAAAATTTGATTGTACCTTCTAACTTTTTTGAGCATTACGCTTACAGCTTTCATTTCTTTCTCAGGATTTTGCAGCTTCCATTTCTTTCTCAGGAAATGGAACTATGGCTTCTTCTTCTACTTAACACTTTTAGGGAATATATGACCTTTTTATTGAATTTTCACCGTTAGTAGGATTTTTATTCGTGTTTTAATCACTTGACCAATTATTTCCTTGTGATTTGTGGGTGTAGAACAAGGAAGATTTGGGTGGAGCTTTTGATATGATTTGTGTCAACAAACTCCCATTTGGACATTTTGTAAGTGGTTTCTAGTTGCTGGACTTGTTGGCGAATTCTTATTTTTTTCACTGCATCCTTTTTTTTAACCTATAACTTGTTATGTACTACATCACCCGATTAGTGCTTCTTTTCAATTGATTGGATAAATTTTTTTTTGAGGAAAAAGTTTTCCATACCAGTGAATTATAAAATTTTTTGAATTTTTTTTTTCAAAATTTAATCAAAGTAATATCAGATGAATTTTTATGCATGCATCATGCTGGTCAAGTGAGTGTCATTGTATCCCAAATAATGGATCGACATAAGACATTTTTCTATGTTGGGTTTCTTTTGCAGTGCTCTGTAGACACATTAGATGAGAACCAGATTACAAAAAAAATGGTTCAGACCACAAAATGTGTGGAAAAATCTGGAGGAAACACAAATTTGAAGAAAGATCTTCCAGAGGTACTATGCTCTTTGAAATTTACTTGCGTTGAACTTGTTTATCTCATACCCGAGAATACCCTCTATCGGCAATAGATTTATGGCCATTTGGGATTTTCCTCCTTTTTTGCTTATATTTCTTGCCGTTGGCATGCAATCAGAAATATTCTGAGCTAATTTTTGTATGTGTATTATTCGCTAGTACGGTACTTCAGTACTGTACTTGTACTACCCGTTAATTTGGATATCTATAAATGGTCAACAATATGTGTTACCACTTGTAAAAAAGCAACATCCCACCTCTAGGGCTATAGATGAACCAATGCACTCGATGAACAACTCAAAATCGGCTTCATTACTACTCGGTCAAGTTTGTTCAAAATAGTAAATAAAGAAGTTTGAACATTTTTTAAGAACTCTTTAGATGAATTAAACTTGAACACAATCCAACTAATTTAATGAATTAAACTTGTTTGTTGTTAATAAATAACTTGTTAAATGCTTTATTATATGCTAGATGAAAGCTCCTATTATATAGAATACAACAACAACAAGTGTTATCGGCTTTCTGAATCCTTTTTCTCCGTTGTTCCAATTTAGTGTAATATTTTTATTTCATTATAATAAATTAAGATCATTTTTATACATTTTATACAACATGCCCAAGTTTACAACATGCCCAAGTTTTTTTAGGTCTACATCTACCTTTTTTAACATAAGTCACATTTAAAATATCTACTCTCCTAAAAGGTTCATCAGTTGGTTGATGGTTGAATGTGACCAAACCATCTAAGACGGCTCTCTCTAATCTTGTCTGCCCCTGGAGCTACCCCAACCCTTTCACGGATATATTTGTTTTTCCTTTTGTCTCTTAAGTGTAAAGTCATTCATCCATCCAAGCATTCTCATCTTAGCAACACTTAACTTATTTTTATGCTTCTCATTTATAGGCCAACATTCAACACCATAAAGTATTGCAGGTCTCACCACCAACTTATAAAAATTTGCTTTTTTATAAACGGTACTTTTTTATCACACTGTAGGCCTGATGCGCTCCTCCACTTTAACCATTCAATTTGAATTATACTAATAACATCCTCATCTATATCACCATTACTTTGAATAATATACTCGAGAGTTCTAAAATATTCACTCCTTTTAATGATTTGATTACCAATTGTTACAACTCCGTCGCTAGATCTACTACTACTAAAATTACATTCAATGTATTCAGTTTTAGATCTACACAAACGAAGGCCTTTAGACTCTAAAGTTGATTTCCAAAATTCTAGTTTTTCTTGAACTCTTTCTCTGTCTTATTCACAAGAAGGATATCATTAGTGACAAGTATAAATGAAGGTGGGTCCTAATATAAATGTCCACTAAGTGCATCCATAACTAAAGCAAAAAGATATGTGCTTATAGTCGATTTTTGCTGTAATCCAACTCTAGTATACATATCTTTAATGACTTCAATATAAGTCATATCAACACCTTTTTTTTCTAGAATTCTCCAAATAACTTTAGTTAGAACCTTATCATAAGCTTTTTCTAAATAAAAAAAAAATCATATGTAGATACTCCTTATTTTCTCTTGTCTTCACTATCAAACCTCTCAATAAATATGTAGCTTCCATAGTAGACTTGCTCGACATAAAACCAAACTAATTTTAAGAAATTTTACCATGTCCCATAATTTTAATATATATTCATTAACTTAATTCCTTTTAATTTGCACACTCTTTTGCATCCCCTTGCTGTTAAAAATAGGGATTGAAATACTTTTCTTCCACTCCTCAAGTATCTTTTTAGTTTTTAAAATAATATAAAAAGATTTAGTAAGCCATGAAATTCTCAAATCTCCTAAATATTCTCACACTTATTAAGATACCACCATGTCCTATTATTTTCTTAACCTTCGTTTTCTTTAAAGTCTCAACTTTTTTTTTCTATTGATGCGACGCTAAGAAGATGCATATGATATACTATTTAAATAAAATTTATATAATTATAACTTATTTAATTATATATTATTAGTAATTTATTATAATTTAATATCAATATGCATATTAATTTAGTAAAATTCCTTTTTTCTATTGTAATGACTAGTTTTTTAGTATTTGTTTATATTTTTTGACTGTGAATAAGCTTACTTAACTTATGTTTTATTTTATTTAATTAAACAAGTTAGATTTTAATTCAAAATTTATTTTTTTTATTATTTATATTTATAAATTTATTTGTTAATAATTTTATATGAAAATGGAAGCACTCATTCAGCTTATCTATTAATTCTTTATTACTTGTTTAGTTAATATGATTATTCAAAAATTTAAGTAAACCAAACATGAACGTACATGTGAAATTCAGCTCGAGCTCAAGTCAAATCAGAAAACTTATAATATGACCAAGCCAAATTTAATAAAAAACATACTAGGTTTGACTCGGCTCAATTACAACCCTGCTCACTTACCATATTTACATGAAATGGATGTTAACCGATGGCTAATACACACACACACACACACATAGATATATATATATAT